TTACTTTTTTTTATTCACGGTAATATAAAAGTGGATTAATGAATAAAAGAGAATATTATAAGATTTTTACTAGATATGCAGTTTTATATAATTTAACACAAATGAAAGCAAAATTGAACTCTAAATTTGGCCCAGTATTGCCCTAGTATTTTTTTTTAAATATGTACGTTCCATTACAATCTTGGTTTAAATATTCTAACATATAAGCAGAAATAAAAAATCAAATAAATTATATATGAAATTGTTTACTAACAAAACTTCTGTACCTTATAGGATCTAATTGTATACTTCCAACACACCTGTCAAACATATCCAGTTAATAATACATGAAACACGTTATAAAATCATTAATGTTAAGACCCACGTTGACTTATTTGCACTTTCCGGCTATTAAATCATATAAAACATAATAATGATGATAGGATTACAGATTTCTGTAATCATATAATAATTTTTATTACTTTAAGATTTTCTGATAGACAACCGACGCTTAGGATGGAGATGCAAAAATAATGTAATGTATGTTTTCCGGAATTCGCAATTATGAAATTTTTTAATGAATTAAGAAAATGAAGTATTGCTCTACGTTGTCTTTATTAAATATTTACTTTCAATATAATTTATTTTACAATTTTATCACATATTTTTTATTTGCAAAATAATAAAATTCTTTTTCAAAAAAAATCTTTGAATATTTAAATAACGGTTGTGTCATTTTGAGAATGTACCATAGGATCAAAAAAATATATTATGATCTATACTTTTTATAGAAATCAATGACTTGAGGTATTAAAAATAGATTTAGAAAGATATATTTTAGTGCAAAATTTTTAAAAGTTTACATTCGTTTTTACCTCTTAGTTTTATTCTCATTTTCTGAAATTTATTACATACATTTGAAATTAAAATATTAATTATTAATTATTACATATTTTTCAAAAAAATGCTTTAAACATGTTTCCACTAAATTCATTAAAATTTAAATTATGCATTCAGTATTTGAACACTATTACTAAAGAACCCTTTTCGAATTCTGTATCAAATTTGAATTTTCAAATTAATTTTAATACTTGTGAATAAAACGCGGGACGTACCACAAATTAGCCTTAAGGCACAAATTACCATGTGCCATCAATTTTAGTTTATGATGCTGTAAAATATTCAACAGATTAGAAGTTATGATTGATCCTGACGTAAAATTCTGAATTATGTCTAAGGAATGCACATAGTTAATGTTTTCGCTTTCTCACCATTCTGTTGCAAAATTTGTAGAATCTTAACACCGATTGTTATGAAACGCTTACTTTGCATGAAACGATGTTCGAGCAGAATTACGCCCTCAACAAAATAACTCAGAGTCATTATCGATTTTCACGCACGCGATTTATGTAAAATTTGCGAACATCTCCTATCATCTTAAGATGATTGATATATGACGTCTAAAATCATACATGGAGAAAAAAGTAGAAAAAAACTGCTTTGGTTTTGACAAGTTAATCTTCAGAACTTATTAACATAGTGAAGAAATATTTTTTGTAAAATGCGATTTAAAAAAAAATTGTATATTGCATCGGATGCTTAGTTCTCTCAAAAACAGCCATTGGTTGCTTATTTAGCTCTATATCCAAAACGGCTGTACCTGCTTTTGCCAAAACCTAATCACCTTTTCTCCCCATCATTACGAATCGAATGTTTTTTCGATCATTCAAATCGGTTAATCCGTTCTCTTAAAAACTGACTCTTTTAGCCCCATATCTCCGAAGCCGCTGGACCGGCCTTACCAAAAAACTAATCAGCACGTCTCCTTATCAATAAGAATGGAATGTTTTTTGAACCATTCAAATCGGTGAATTCGCACATTTTTCTGAAGTATGCCAAAATGTTCAGAAACCTCTAAAACGTGAAGAAAATTTTCATTTTCGAATTTTGACCCATTAATTATGTAAAAACAAACCTAATAAAATTAATAGATAATGTTTCCTAATCAATTGCAACTGTCTATTTCAACGGTATAAAGACCATAACTTTATACTGGTATAAGCTTCACACTTGTTGTTGCTGTTTTTTTTATTATTTTCCATGAAAACTTCTGATTTTATAATACAATTAGATTCGCCTACATCGGAAGATCATGCTCAACACCTTGCCTTTAAGCTGTTTTTACTCATATGTGAATGAATTGTGTTCAGCAAATAGAAATATACAAGAACAAAATCCGTATATCCTTTGAGAGCATTAAGTTAAATCAACTAACGTTATATAAATAATCGGTAAATGGGTGCAGTCGCCTCAGGATGCATTTGATAGTTTTAAGAAATACAATTAGAGTTGAATGAATATTCCTTGACAATTTGAATAATTGGATACTGTGAAATGAGAAATTAATACGAAAAAAACAATTATAAAACTAATCAAGAAATATGTCAGAAATATAATGAATTCAAATAGTAGATGTGTACAGTGATATAAACGTTTTAAACAAATATCAACTTCTTTATATATATATATATATATATATATATATATATATATATATATATATATATATTTACATATGCAAGTGCAAATACCTGGGCAAAAAGACATAGCTGCTCTTTAACAGAGCATACAACTGTAAGGTTTATATTTCCTAATACTTCTCAGAATAACGTACAAAGAAACATTTCCCCTATCCGTCTGTCAATTTATTTCGATAAAACAAAAGTTGTGTATTCAAGAAACTTGCATCTTTATATATTCTTTTGATGTCTTTGAATTTTTTCACTATTCTACGCAAATCCTCTTTATTTTGCTAGAGCGTGACCGCAGGAAAGATTCAAAGTATAACAGGAAAAGCAGCTTCCGAAGAAATGGAAGAATATTGCGATATGCACTTTGGGAAAAGTGCCAAATCTACAGCTGGTACACCTCAAGACACTTTAATTTATGAAAAATTTTTTTAGTAAATAAATAGATAAATTAAATCTAGCCAAAAAATAAAATAAAAATTGTTCACTGCGGCACATTGTATAACTTTATCAAATCATTGGAAATCTGACTAACCGCTCATAGGACAATGTAATTCTTAGTAGTTCTGATTGTTTTTGAAACAATAAATAAAAGATATAAAAAAACGTAAACCTGTGAATTACTCAATAGAGTGACTACTATTTGAATTACAAAATGTAGCACAATAATTACCTGTAAATGTATATAACAAATTTGATGCTAGAATGTTGTTTGCTCTGATTGTTATTAAAAAATGGAACATGGACATGTTTTCGAGGTTTACTCGATGTTGCCTCAATAATTCCTCAAAAATTCTTTTAAATTGCCCATTTTGGAATATGATGTAGCTGAAGACACAACCTAACTTTATTACACATATATATAATTGTCTTCTTACCACACATTTGCAACCAATTATAAAAATTGTGATCCATTGTAATAAATCGTTCTCAGATAGAACTTCACATTTCGTAGATACCTTCATTGATATTTTTTGTAATCAAAATTGGAATTGTTGTTTCAAACGTTCTGAGGACTTTGGGGGCGTATATTAAGCATGTGATCAATTTCTGAGAATTTTTGGATCTTCCTCACTTTTGGTAATGTCACCCCCACCAACCCACCGTGTATTTTTAATGCATAAAAAAGTCGTAAACCTTTTGAAATTGTTTTGAATAGATTCTAAATTTAGGTAAGAAATAAATACACGTGATATCTTTCTTACTAGGCTTTTCAAAAAAATGTCAAAAATTTATAGAATTCTTGACTCTACATTTTGTTCATGTAAAATTGTTGAATTCCTTTTTTTCTAATTTTTAGTTTTATATCGTAATAAGATTGTTTCAGATTTAATTGACATAAATATATTGTTACAAAAAAAATGATTCCGAAGTGCATATTGCTAAATTTTGAAAATTTTCGAAAAAGCAAAGCACAATTTAATTAAAATTAAAGTAGAAAATAGCTTTTTCTCCTCTAATTCTTCCACTATCTCAATGATTTATAAAACAAGCAATGGTGTAACCTATGTTTGATAATTACACTGCAATCATCCAAGGAGGATGCTATCTGATAGTTTTAACTGACGTAAGTAAAAATAATTAAACTCATTCATCTGACTTAAGCTTCAAGATTGTTGGTTTTGGTTAAATTATATGATTCCCTTGTTTTATTGTATTCAACGCTTGTTCCCATCCCATAGCCTAGCAATCTCAAGTTTGAGTCAGAAAGTGATTAATGTCAGTATAAATTACCAAAAAACATCATTAAGATGTGTAGAACAAATTTACATTAATAATGTTGTAATTGACACAAAATATGGAAACATGCACAAAGAAATAGGACAGATAATACTTTTTCTAACAGATTTATTTTTTCATTTACTAGCATATTTTGATCGATTTTGTTAGTGTATTGTTATGAATAATCTAATCTAATATATTTGAAAAATAAATCAATCATGTTATATTAAGCTCACTCGAGAATATATATATATATATATATATATATATATATAATTTCCTAAATGATTATGTACATCGTCAACATTATCTTACTTAATTAATTAACATATTTGTAATTATCTACAATTACTTTTTGTATGCTCCTCTCCTATCGTCAGTGCTGATGTTACTAATTGTAAGAGAATTTCAAAGTTCTTATAAGAAGAGGAATACACGATTTTTTAATGAGACTTTTTATTCTGTTATCTCGTCTGAAGGAAGTACAAATAGACTTTTTGCTTAAATTATTACTTCTTACGGAACTGAATAATGTTGTCAAGAATGCATTTAAATCATAACTGCTACAATGTTAACAATGCTTAGAAGATTCTAAATCTGTAACAGCGTAGAAGTTTTTTTAGTATGATACAAAAATTTAGAAATTAAAATGATATACCACTTTGTGACGAAAAAGTTGCACATTTTGAAGTGCACCGTGACGAAAAAGTTGAATATTTTGAAGAAGATAAAATAAATATTGAAGAAGATTAACAATTTTGCGTTTTACACATTTAGAAATTCCGGAAACTCTTTTTTACAATGTATGTATTTTTTAATTTATTTATTCTGCAATGAAAATAATGAGCAGAAATGGTTAACAATATAAAATAAGTAAAGTATAAAACTTGATCAGGTATCAATAGATCGCCAAGTGGATATTCTACCAGGAGTATAATATAAAATAGAAGCTGAAAGAACTTTACTTTAACTCTATCCCCAAATTATAAGCATGGTAGAAGCAACCATGTAGTTCCTACCCATACCGCAGTCAACGTATTAAGCAGTATCGTTTTTTATTTAAAAAAAAATATTAAAAAAAACATAAATATGATCTTATGAGTGTCAAGTAGAGTGTCCGCTTGTTCTTCACGCTCAGCGGGCTGTTATGGTATGTCTGTCCAATTTTCGTGTTAATATGTTTTGTGAAGCTGGAGTCTATGGTCCAAAGTCACACCAAGGTATTTGACATCCTAGGACCACAAAACTTCATGGCCTATTACTTTCAGTTTTCCACGTCAGTCGGCCTATAGATATTAAAATGTACTGCTTCAAAGTGCAAATATTTGCTTGCAGTATTTCACAGATTTCCGTAACTTTATTTATTATTCATTAATCAAATATGTTTTATTTATTTTATCCAAGTCGATCTCCTTATCCCGATTTGCATCCGTGGATGCGTTCGACGTTAAACGGGCAGTGCACGCAAAAGGCAGCAAACGCAATGGATTGCATAATTGCAAAGAGATAGAAAAGAATCGAAGCTGCAGCATCTATTGCAGAAGTCGTACTGCAGATGCGCCCATTACAGACCATTAAGGATCGCAAGTAATCGCAGAATAATAGAAACAAAGAATCAGATGGAAAACGGAGGAGGTCATTGCAGAAGCAAATTATTCGTCTTCGGGCATTGTTAGTGCTATTCAAATGACAAGATAAATAGTTAGTTATTTACTAGGATGGGGTAAATTGCTGTAACTTTGTTTCTCGTTTAACAGACTATTATTTAGATCAACGTTTTTCAAACTTATTTCTTCCATCGCCCCCTTTGAAGATCAACTATTTTGTAGCGCCCCCTGACCAAATTTTTTTATACCTATATATTCAATAAAAGCATTTTTTTTAAATTTTAATAATATAGTTATAGTGTGCTAAATTAGTTAATATAACCTTACATTCTAAATTAGAAAATTTTACCAGTAAGAGTAAAAATTAGTTAGGAGACTCTTATCGCTCCCTAGATATTACAATCGCCCACTTTGAGAAATACTGATTTAGATCATGATTGATAAGCAGGATAAAGTGTAGAAGGATTGAAGAAATTATTGAAGTTTTTATATGAACAGATTTTAAACGAAAGTATCACATATGCAGCATACTTATGCCTAGTTTTGTATGCATAACTTTTTGAATAATAGTTGTAATTACTCTATTTAGAAATAAAATTATCATGTAGTTGTAGAGTGGCATCACCAATTTGAGAATTGGAATTATATTAAGTGATTATGAAGAGCAATACCTACTACAATTATTTTTTGTATGTGCCTTTACTATCACCAAAGTTGATATTTTGAATTTGAATATACCTACTTGTCCATTAAATCTTATAAAGGTTGGTTTGTTTGTGGCGCAATGACACTGCTGTGGCCTTATATCTATAAGTTCCTAGGATCGATTTGCGACTCGGACAACCTGACATCAAGTAGTACTAATTTACAAAAAAATTTTTTTTTGAGAAAAAAAAAGTTGAAACAAACATTTTTTTTTCCAAAATCAATTATTTAGTTAAGACAAGCAGAAAGTTCTTTGAATCATTTAAATTGGACGCTTAGTTCTCTTAGAAACTGCCATTTTTTACATATTTAGCTCCGTATCTTAGAAATGGCTGGGCCTGCCTTTGCCAAAAACTAATAAACACTTTTCCCAATCATTACTAATTAAATGTTTTTTAGATCATTCAAATCGGATACTCCGTTCTCTCAAAAACTCGATTTCTATTTTCTGCACTCTGCCCCGTATCTCCGAAATGGCTGGACCTACCTTTGCCAAAAACTAATCAGCTCTTCTCCCTATCAATAGGAATCGAATGTTTTTTGAACCATTCAAATCGGTTGATCCGTGCGCCCGAAAACGTGACTGGAAATTTTGTATCCATACATACATACACCCACACACACACACACATCCATTTTTTCTGAGGTATGCCAAAATGTTCAGAATCCTTCAAAACGTCAAGAAATGTAAAAATTTTCAATTTCGATTTTCGGCCCACTACAATAACTTACCCTACGGGAAGTTAAAAATGCCATTTCTTTATTCAAAACAAGCGATTTATAATCAATGCGTTAAAGACGTTAAAAAGGCTTGTTATAAAAATCTAGTGTTTTTATAAGATAAATGAAATTTTGTATAACACTGCACGCAATCATTAAAAAAAAATTATATTGAATTTTACAATGGCTTAAAAAATTGACTTATTCATAAATTGAAATAATTTTTCCAATAACGAAGATTAAATTTTGGAGTCTGTAACCTTGACCACAAGACCATCTCGATATATGAATAGAAAATACAGAAGTTAGATCAGCCTTTACCTATACTTCAATTACTATAATTAAACCTTCTAATAGGACTCTAATGTTTCAAGGAATTCGTTGCAACTATCAACCTTACCATTTGACCATGTGAAGTTCCATTAAAACAGACCACTAAAATTAAATTGTCCTTATTTAGCTCGGTTTGTAAATGCATAAATCTGCTGAATCTAAATTAGATCAAGTTCTGTATAGCATGCATTTTTGAAGTAAAAAAAATCTTGCATATAATAGATGTTACTGTTCATTCGATTATATTCTTCCTAACTTACTACCAACACTAATTGTAAGACCAAGAGTGGGAGAGATCGGTACAGGACGATCAGCAAGGTGACTTCCGGATGCTGAGATACAGATACCAAACATTATAGCCGATCGAATAAACATTACAATATATAATAAGCCATTAATCTAAATGATCAATCAAACAACGAAACAAATTGGATTCAGATGAACACGAACTCAGGAATTGCACGCATGATTGAATTAAAGTACACCTTTGGGTTATTATTTCGAGACGAGTCCAATGTTGCTCAGATGATTTCATAACTTCATTAAGGTAGAAGCATAAATTATGCTAGTGGATTTTAGTAATATCATAACTTGGTTTATGATTGATTTTAATTAAGATACCGTTGGTAATATGTTTTGAATTGGATTAATATTCAAATTGGATTTGTAATATTAAACAACTTGTATGAGATGAGAGCGTCCAGCTAACTTACGTAGTTAAGCGTCTTGTAAACTTATTCGAATTATTAGAATCATTTTGGTATTCTTTATATTTATTAACTTTCTGGAGAAGATAATATAATTTAATTTTATATGCGATATATTCAATATATGCGACATTTTCTCCAAAACGGCCGCAACGATTTACAAAATTAAAAAAAATAATTTTATAAAGCTTGATAAGACGATAAGTACTCGCAATGATCTCAAAAATCATTTAGATTTGCATTACTGTTTATCTCAATTAGAACATTTCTCAAAATTCAATAAAGACACAATGTTTATCATTGCAAGAGAAACGATTCAAACATTATAAAAATAATATTTTTCATGTTTAACTTCCTTCCTTAAGTACTTTTTCAAATTAGTTTCTACTGTAATAACTTAACACAAGCCATATCGTTCCTAATTTCAAAAATATTAAAATTTATTGCTACAAAGCACTACCTGTATTATATTGTATAATATTCCTTCTCTTCCTATTAAAGCATATTACAAGCTTATATAATGGTGATGAGTGATCATGAAATATAATATGATAAAAAGTGAAATGATTTTTCAATTCGTTCTGCGAGATGAGTTGCCAGCACTTAATTAAACAGGTAACTTGGTTTGATCTTGGTAATAAGTGCTAACGTAATCTTTATTATATTCTCCTTTGCAAAAGGTGGATCTAGAATCTAGTTTTCCGGTCAATTTTTTTGCAAAAATTATATTTTGCAACCAAAAACCTGATAAATAATTAATAGAGATTCAAACACCAACAGTGAATTACAGCAAAAGAGTTATTATTAACAACATTAATTATTATTTTAGAACAGGTTTACCAATTTGCTCCTGTTTGTCTACAAATTATTGCACTAATTACATTTTTGGCTAATAAATTAATCTTGCTATATTCATTAATAAAAAACGTAGTGTTTTAAAAAATAGTCTTTGCTAATATCAAACACAAAATGAGTAAATAAAAATATTCCTCATTCTGTAAAAATTTAAAATCACACAAATAAGTTTGCATTTCAGCAATTCTTATTAATTTTATATGTAAACACATCATATGATTGAAATAACTGTCCAAGCATAATGGATTAGTCATTTTATTTTTTGCTGAAAAACTAACTTTTTCCTTATTTAATTAACACAAGAACAGTTTTAACGGTGCTGTGTATTAGTTCATTATTAGGTGATAATCAAAAGACATTCAAGATATTTTGGTGGAATTGTAAAATTAACATTTATGCTAAAAAAAATTGATTAAAAATATTTTTGTAAACACTGAAGTATTTTAGCAAATTTTAGTTGATTAAGAATGAACTTAACTGTTATAGTAAGAACTTGAATTTTATAAAAATTGCATATGGTGTTATTGATCAGAAAATAATAAATTTTTGGCAACTTTTTATAGAAAATATTATAAAACTTAATTAATGAAGTGGTATTGAGTTTTTAGTTTTACAAAAAAAAACAGTATTATTTTTGTGAATAAGATTATAAAATGATACATAATTAAATATTAATGAAAATTTTGCTAGGCTTATTATGTACAAAAATTTCATTTTTTATTCTGAAATATGTAATTATAAATTATTTAAATATTTAAAAATGCTGGTAGTACCGAAGACGTTCGACGCTCTGACTGTATACGCTAATAATAACTTATCATAAATACAAATATATTATTTTTGGATCATTGTTTTCTCGTCTTTGTACAATCAGTCATATTCACTTTACAATAGTATCCGGGTTCCCCAAAATGCAGATGAGGTACACGAACTATCCAAATTCGCAATATTTAATTATTAAGTGAAATCTTTTAACAAAACCTTGCAACGATGACTCAAAACGGATACGTGCATTGTAAATACAACAACAGAAATGTACTAAATATTTCAATTTATCTTTGCAAAAAGTTTATCATCATAAATTATTATGAAATTAAATATGATTCAAAATCAATAATTGTATAAAGAATTTTAGATAACGAGTGTATGTTATAGTTTTCGACGCTATCTTATGTTTTTGTTACAGATTCAATAAATTTCTAACGTCTTGGTGGTATCTAGGTGTGATAAATCATTGAAATTCTATCTCATAATACAAAACATCGAAAATATTATTTAAAGCATATAATTATAAAAGCAATCGAAAAATTTATTAGTAATACATATATTTATTAACATTTAACTATAATCGGCGGATATGTATCATACAATCGATCAACAAGATGGTACTTTATATGGTACACACAAGAAACACGTATGTTTGTTGGCATGTGCAACTGAAATTTGTAATTTAAATAATTTATATCAATTATGATACATATTTGATATAAATATTGATATCAAATATATCTTACAAATACAGAATATATTAACTGAAGAAGAACTCCAATTCATTTATATTTATGTTCCATTAGACCTACAATATTGATTAGCGAATAAAGGTAAATGATATCATTACATTAAATGAAATTATTATCTTCCCTAAGGAGAAGAAGTTTAAGTTTTCGAGTAAAAATTCTTTTTTGCTAATTTTATGTTTTCTTAACTTTTTAATTGAATGAAAATAATTTGGGAAAAGTATGTTGCTGTGTGAAAAGTGTGAGTATGTATGTGGCCCGATATTTTATTTTTGTCAGCGTTTTCTCAAAAACTGGCTGGACCGATTTTAAAGATATAAAAGTCATTCGATGTAACTTGATAAGGATAAGGGTTGCTTATATTCGCGTGACAATCAGCCGAGTCGTTTCTTTGTAATTTGCAGAAAAGTAAAATTTTGTCCACGTTTTAGTCCACAATTTTAAACTGATTTTGAAAAAAACTGTTCGAAAGATATTGGTTGGGAATCGCGTTGATTGGTTTTTGGTGAAGATCGGCCAGGCCGTTTCTTTGTAACCAATTTTTTTTGACGATTTTGATAAAACTTAGTATAAAGATATATTTTGCAGTCTGAAATATACTAAATATTACAAGCAGTTCAATTATAAAAAATCACGAAAGTTTATAATCAGAATCAGAGTCAGAACCACAGTGTGTAATCACTAATCAGAATGTTAGGTCGCTACTGATTACAGTTGACATTCCCACTTCACTTAAATAAAATTCATTTTTAGAATGCGAGACGGATGAAACGAAATATGTTAAACACATTGAATTAATTTATATAATTTCAGATATTATAAGTATTTTTGAACTAAATTAATTGGAAAACGTTCTGAGTATTCTATAGTCAAATCGAATGTTATTTTCGAAATAAATAGTTTAACTATTTTACTTATTTAAATAGTATGTATAGATATCGGGAAATTCATTCAATTTGCCTTAGAAGAAAAATAAACAAAAAGTATTGAATGCTAAAATTATAATTGCATTGCTCAGAAGTCTTTTCGTTTTATTATATTGACCATGAAGGTGTCAAACTTCAAGGCATTAAGCTTTAAACGGAATGGTTTCTACCCCTGGTAGGGAGGGTAGCGCAGTGTTTTAATGGAACTAGTTGTTCACTTCTTAAAGAAAAGTCCGCTTAACAACATGTAAATAACCAATAAAAATAAATATATCTTCTTTCATTATAACTTAGTAACAAATCAGTGATTGTAATTATAAATGCAACAAATACATAATATACAAACAAATCAGTGTTTAATACAGTCCACAGCTACAAGGGTTAAATTATAACCCAACAACCCGAGGAGAGTTTTAATAAATTCTATAACTACGTAACAAAAGAATAGCATGTTTTGTCATATCATTAAAATACCACAGATCCAAATCAACCTAAATAATTTAGAACATGCTACTCTCGACTTTTTTCTAGGAGATCAGATAAAACATTTAAACCATTTTTTGTCACGATTATTATAATTTTATCGATACTATAAATTTCAAATCAACGCATACCTCGTTCTATTTATAAAATAAACCAACAGCATAAACCCAGTGCAAATTAGTAGCCGTTAAACATTACTTAGCAATTAAAATAACCACTAGGTCTTAGGTATCGCCATGGGTGAAGCGGGTTCGAATCATCTCAACAGTTAAGATTTTCTCACCTTCTTCGGGGCGCACGGTTACCCTGCAGAAGATAATCATTACCGCGCGATTGGATTAGTATAAAAGGCGGGCAAGATCAAGGCGCGACTCCAGTGTCGTAACAGACATTGAACTTGTAGCATCGCGAGTACAATCGCTAGTTGTGTTGATCATAGTCAGTAGAAAACTATAAAGAATTATAAAGAAGATCTCTTTCGAGTATCGTCTTCTGGCATCTCATAACTATTCAGCATTGCGTGTGTGATAAGAGCGACCGATAAGCCGCCAGGTGAGCTTAGAAATAATACGATTCGCGCAGTGCGAGTAATTTATCGTGCAAGTGCAAGTACTTGTAAGTTGTAAGCGCTATTAAAAGGTGGTTCTGTGATGCGTTTTAAGGGATTAAGTCGTCGACGAGACGTTGAGATAGAGTGACTATAAAAGCGTTAATAATTTTATTATGCTATAATTTTATAGCGTATTTTTTGATAATGAAAGAATTAAAAACGGCTATAAAAATTTTGTAGATCAGAATCTGTGTTTTAAAAATATTAGATTTTTTTTTTAAAACTTGTTTGTGATCTTTAAAAATTATTTTTTAAATTTAATCTTAAATATTCATTTTATTCCTCATGTTTTCATCATTTATTAATTTTTTTTATTTATTTCTCTATTTTTTAATTTATTCATCATTAATTCATTCATTCAAAATATTTTACTGTATATTACAAACTGTAATTATTACAGACTTAATAAATTGATACACAATACCTATATACACATACTGAAAATAGTACAGAATTGATAGATTTTGAATGAGAAATTTAACTTTTCAAATCATTATTATTTTTGAATATATTGTCATAAACTATTGAAATTTTTTCAATTATTACAATAATTATATGTGAAAACATTAATTTCATTTGTTTTATACACACATACTGAAAACAGTATAGAATTAATAGATTTTGAATGAGAAATTTAACTTTTCATAACTCATAACTTCTGAATTTTTTTCAATAATTACAATAATTATATGTGAAGCTCAGAACATTCATTTTATTTGTTTTCTTAAATTAATCATTTCATCATTAATTAATTAATTAATTCAAAACTATTGTACGACTGTAAATTTCAGACTGTAATTTTTACAAACTTAATAAATTGATGCACAATACCCAAAAGTTGCTTACACACATACCTTTTTTTTATTATCTCTTTTATTTACAACTGTCCAGTAAAGAACATTCAATAAATTTGATGAATTTACAATAGTCGGCCGAAAAGGGACATTGTATACTACAAGAGCATGTTGGAAAAAAACAACTCAGTAGTTGTTTTTCCATTCGATATAAAATTCACAATATTTTATTGATAATTATATAATTTTAACTATTCACTTATTGAAAAAATTCTTATAAATAATGATTAAGTTATTTTCATTTTTTATCAGGAGAGTTGATGGCTTAAATCCAGCGGCGCTTTTCTTTTCAATCTTTACACACATATCTACTGAAAATTATCTAAAATTCTTAGATTTTAAATGAGATATTAATTTTTTTAATACATTTTTAATATTTTCGAAAAAAATATTATGATATTCTGTAACTTTTTCAATTTATGAATAAAAACTATTTAATCGGCTATGATGTGCATGAATATTAGGACAATTGTAAGTGAAGCCTTAAACATGCATTTTATCCAATGTTTTTTTAAATTAATTATTGCATCTTTATTAAATTAATTAATTCAGAACTCAACTGTAAATTTCAGACTGTAATTTTTACAAACTTAATAAATTGATAACAATACCCAAACAATACAAACACATACTGAAATTACTATAATATTCATAGATTTTAAATGAAAAATTTAAGTTTTTAATATATCATTAATATTTTTGATTATATTGTCATAATATTCTGAAAGTTTTTCAATATATGAATAAAAACTATTTAATCGACTATGATGTGCCTGAGTATTGACACAATTACGTGTGAAGCTTTAAAGATTTTTTTGAGAGTATAATAAATTAAGTATTATTGTTGAATATTACTGCCTTATTTCAAACCAAAATAAACCTTATAAAATACGTAAAATCACAGTATAAGTCTTAAACATCAATTAGAAAATAAGTAAAAAACAATAATTTTTTTATGGAAAACTTCTCATGATGGAAACTATATAGTGGAATTTTCAAACAAATATGAATAAATAATTAGAGTTTAGCATATTCTAATTATGTTATTTTTCATAAAAGAGATTGATGATAATATCTTAATAATAGATAGTTTTGAGTATTACATTCTAAATATAAAAAAAATCACATATTAATTTGAATTTCTATAATTATATTGAAATTAAAAAATGATTCACTAAACATATATTATATAATTTAAATCCGATTAATATATTTTTGTCGGAATTTTTATTAACACAATGTACAATATTATACTAAAATTTGATTTTATTAAATTTAATTAAATGTTGAATGCAAATATTAATTAATAAATTAAGTAAAGGACTAGCAGTTGAAATGGACAAAGATTATATCTATAAGATAATATGCATATTCTACGTGCATTTCAACAGCTAGTCCTTTACTTAATTTATTAATTAATATTTGCATTCAACATTTAATTAAATTTAATAAAATCAAATTTTAGTAAAATACTGTAGACTGTAGAGATATAATTGCTCTATACGAGTATGTGTATGCTATGTACGTATTGAATCGATTTGTCTTGAATTATTTTACATATGTATATAAATACAAAAACTTAAAAATGTACAAGCAATCTATTTCTTTCAACTACAAATAAAAATCCGTACTAGTGTTTTTAATGATTCTATATATAGAACGCAATTTTGCCCGATCCGATATTAAAGATCTCATATATCAAACCGCAATATTCAAGATGTCATGTTCATTTTTATGCAATGCAAAACATAACGAAGTTGCATTCAACGTTGGCACAGATTGGAGATACTTTGTATTCCCTTGGAATATTTATTCACGACTTATATTGAAATAAAACAAGCACACGTCTGCACATATACCTAGACGATAATCAGAAAAATGAAATTTGAACAATTTTAGTATGTTCACATTTTTTAATATTAATCTTGTTTATAAATAATTTTAAATTTTAGACTGATCAATAACTTGTAATCAACATTTTGATACCCATCATAAAAAAGGCTTTTAACAATGTTCAGATTTTTTAAATATTTTAAAATAAGCTTAACTTAATTTTTTTTAAGATAAGCTGTAACTTTAAGGTAATGTAATTGAGGTAATTTAGTACAATATCTAATTTAAATTTTTTATTTCTATATAAATTACTATGTTATATGAAGACCTTTAGTAACTGTGTTATTAATTTAACATGACTATTGGAAAGCAATCCAGTAGTTGTCTTTTTTAGTTGTAATATATTTTTATTATAATTATTGACTTAATTATTTTTGCAACAATGCCCCCAACGTTTATATTTCACTCAATATCATCTTCACGATCTATCATCACAAATAAAAATTCTAATTAAATCTAAATACAATTATTTCAAGCAAAAAAAAAGTAATATAATATAAAAAAATTGCATACCAAAATCAATTATTTTCTGTTAGAGTTATCAATTTAAATTCACTTTGCTTGAATGGGATAAAAATAATAACTAATAATAATTAACCACTTAATGTTAAGGTTTTTTTGTGAAGGGAGGTAAAAAATAAGCAGGGCTTTTTTTGTTTTCAATTGACATTAATATTGTACAACATATTGATATTCTACGACATTGTAATAATTTTGATTATTACTATTTTTGCAGGTTTAGATTTTTTTATATCATGAGTTAGAATTATAAAATTAGAAAAACTTTACTTAGTCATTTCGGTAACTCATTATGTTTTTGTACGATTCATATTTGTTTTTTGTAAAGGATCTTGATCTTATCAGAGTTGGGTCATCAATAGTCAGCTTTTATTTTATAAATTCACTAAATTGTTGATAATGATAATTTGCTCAATAATATTAAGAATTGGTTTTTGTTGAAGTCAATTAGCAATTAAGCATTCTTTATAAATGTAATTATATTTTTACCAATATTAACAGCTATATCCATTTATATAGGTTCATATAGATTTTGCTTATGGAAAATCAGTGCGTGTTTAAATATTAATATTCTTAATTGAAAACGTAATATTTGTTTAGTAATATTCCCATGGTTTATTGAAACACTCAACAAACTTGCACTTGTTTCGAGCTTGTGGCGAGATCGAACCTAATCATATTTGGATCACGATCACAATAAAACTAAAAAAGATGAAAAGTAGAAAAAGTATAAAACAACAGAGTGTCTTCTCGTCATTATATATTCACATCGACCTTCGGCATTGTCCGAGTAACGAACCCGATTTGGAATAATTACCTCCAAGAAATGATGATAGGTACGTTGTGGTACTTATTTTATACGCGTGAATTTTGTAATCATACACCTTCGGTCCGATACGTGCGAGTAACGTATATTTTTATGAATCACATAGCAAAAAACTATTTAAAGAACCGATAAAAAATAACAATAATCCGAATCGATTAAAATGAAAACATACTCTGAGGTCAATAATCAAAGAGTAGGAATTCCACTTGCTTGCAAATGCTTTGGACGGAAACAGGAATAAACGTGAATAAGGAAAAACTTTACAAACTTTGATTACTTTTAGTGTTTTATATCCAATTGAAATAGATATCTGCAATATCCTTGATTACATCCTGATATTATAAAACTATTGAGAGTGATGCATATTTATACCATTCAACAAAAGCCATTATCTTTCTACATATGTTTCATTGAACCTGAATACCAGAAATTGCTGCAAAACTATTTATGGTTAATACTTTCATTATCATTTTATGACTCAAAGCTCATGATAAATTATTATTTTATAGACAGTTTATCATACTATTACTATTTTCAAAGTATTATTCTTTTTATGGGGACTATAAATTCTGTTTATGTTATTAGATTCATTTAACATTTCATAGGTAAAAAAAATATATTTTTTATATAAACTTATAACGTGTTAATATTTCGTATCACAGTATCTTAGAAAGTCATAAAATTTTTGAATGGAATATTTTGAGTTTTATTCCTCAAAAAATCTGTATTTAAATTTACTTTGAATATAGTTCAATTCTAGAAACCGTTTCGGCAATTTTCAAGCCAATTTGGACATACGGTATGCAACCATGGGGTTCAGCTTCCAAATCAATCGTGATAATAATTCAAA